ATCTGATGACATAATGTACACATTAAGTAACGTTTTTTGTGGGTGAAGTGAAAGTTAACTAATAAGATTCCATTGGACGGGTTGTCTCTAGTTAAACCTCCCACTACCATGGCATGCGTTGTCTTCACGGGACAAAAATTGCCCCATCTTTTGTTTCTTATAATCCTAGGAAACTAGATTTTTTTAGTTTTATTTTTTCATTGATCATCAATGGATCTCCGATAACTCATTAATGACCTAACTAATTTAATAATAAATTTTTTTTTTTTTAATGAGTAAGTCATAGGAAAAGGACGAAATTTTCAAAAGTTCGTTGCAATCCATTTGCAAAGCAGTCTAGCGGTCTTCGTCTTCGTATGGATCCACGGCATTTTTCACTCCTATAATTGCTTTCCCAACTTGGACGCTTAAATATCCTTGACTTTGACTGCAAAATTTAGTTGGGAGGTGTGTGAAAAAAATAAAAGTGGTTGGGTGCCTTTTCCTTGCAAATATTAAGGGTTGGTATGGTTCAAATTAACATCAAGGCTTGGTGTTGGTATTGAATCACTACTCACCCTAATACCACTTGCTTATTTAAACAAGACTTAATACATTTGTTAATTTAAGTTCATAGATCTTAAAACAGTTAATCTATCGGCATAGGGATAATTAAGAGGTAATTATTGAATAATAATTTTTTATTTTTTATCTTAAAAAATTAATTTTTATTTTAATTGTAAATGTTATGTATTAGTTTTTTATTGATCTAATTTGAATTATAAATCAAAATTTATTTAGTTAATTTAAAATTAAATATATCTTAAATCACAATCATTATTTAATAAAATACAAAATAGATAAACTTATATATATACAAACATTTATTTTATTTTATTTCGTATATCTCTTATACAAGACAACTCTTAAGTTTTTTTTATTAAAAAAAATTTATCATTAAATTAGTTAGGTCATTAATGAGTTATTGGAGATCCATTGATGATCAATGAAAAAATAAAACTAAAAAAAATCTAGTTTCCTAGGATTATAAGAAACAAAAGATGGGGCAATTTTTGTCCCGTGAAGACAACGCATGCCATGGTAGTGGGAGGTTTAAC